GGGGGGGGGGGGGGGGGGGGGGGGGCGGTGCGGGGGAAGGAGGGGGCCGGGGGGTGTTGGTGGCGATGGTTGCGGCGTACTCTCTAGGGGAGGAGAATATTCTGGCCCATCTTTGCCTGTTGTTCGAGGTATGTGTTTGTGTGCGGCCGTGCACGTCGTGCGTTGCTGTGTTTTCTTGGTAGTGGTACCGCATGGTTGTTGCTGCTGCTGCTGCTGCTGCTGCTGCTGCTGCTGCTGCTCCTGCTGCTGGTGATGTTGCCGGTGCTGTTGTGGAGACATGGCGCTACTGCTGCTGCTGCTGCTGCTGCTGTCGGTGTGCAGCTGTTGCTGCTGCCATTGTTGAGACATGCGTGTGCTAACGTATGCCCAACTCTCACACCATTTTGCTCCTGCTGACATGCCGGCTCTCGCGCAGGCCCTCGTTCTGTCAACCTCCCGACGAATACGGTACTTCAAGGGCGAGGCCCTGCCGCGGCCCGGTGTAAACGGCAACGGCGGCGGCGTTAGCAGCTCCACAACTTCCAGTCACCCGATCGCCACAGTAGGCCGGCCGGAAGCAGGAGCGGCAGGAGGAGGAGGACGGTTGGTCGAAGAGGGGGACAACAACGCAGCAGCAGCAGCAGCGGCGGCGGCGATTGGGGGTCTACGGGTGTCGACGGCGTTGGGAGACGCTTTGGCGGAGGCGTTTCGAAGACATCCGTTCCACCGCTTCCTGGTGTCGCTGAGGTGCATTACGGCGGAGCTGCCGAAGCTGGGGAGGTGCGTGCGTGCGTGCGTTTTTTCTGTGTGTACTACTTTGTACTCCGTGGTAGTAGTAATGTTGGAATTTAACCGTTGGTCGCACTAGCTAGTTAACCGGCTGGCCTATGCATACGAGACGACGTTCGTCTGGACGCGGAGTGTGCGTGTCTGCGTGTTTGTGCGCGCGGCTTCTGGTTTTGGAAATTTTTAGCATCGGCCGCGCGAGGTAGCTAACCGGCTGGCCAAGACACGACGTTAGGCTCGGTGCCGGGTGTGCGTGTTGTGTGGGCATGTCTTTCTGCTGGTGGTCGTGTGATTTTTTTTTTTTTAGAGGCGCGGCGGAGGTGGTGGTGCGCGATTGGGGGGGGGGGGGCGTACTCATTTGTTGCTTGCCGTAGTCATTTGACCATTGACCACGCGTCCCTTTCGAGACGGAGCACCGTTCCTACCCCTACTAGAGACACCACCAACATTTGGGAGCTCTTTACGTTTCTGTGCACGGGGGGCAGGAGAAGTTGGTAAGAGCTGTTCGACAGGTCGTGAGAGGACGGTAAGCAGTGGTCGAGCACTGCTCTCCGTAGTATATATCCGATTCATTGGTGAGGCTGCCGTCGCTGACTGCCCCTACCTACTTCTACGAGTAGAGGACCCCACTATTCAACTACAGATGTTGTTGTTGTTGTTGTTGTCTTCACATTTGTTTAAAACCCGTTCCGCTCTCTCTACCCAGTACCTTCTTCTGTCCGTACTAGTCTGACAACCCTGACGCGTTGATTCCCGGGTCACAGGTTTACTTGCCCAAAAAGCACTTCGAAGTATTTACGATGGGCAACCTCTTCTGTTGTCCCTCTGAGTTTGTGTGTGCCATGCTCGATAATTACAGAGCAGCAGCGGCTGCAGCAGAGCTTGTGTCCGACCTGTTACACGTTTGACTGTTGGCCAACCTGTGGCCATATGCCAGGTTGGCATCGGTCAGTCACGTGAAGGTCCTTGTCCAAGCTGATCCAGGGACCACCGTTCTTGTAGTCCCCGCTCTAAGGACAGACAAGTCACGTTCTTACTTCAAAAAGAAATTGTCCTCAAAGCGGGCATGTGTCCTTATGAGTGTTCTCCCCTACCATGTCGTTGTTGCATTTTGACGGGCACCACGCTTCTCAAAAACAATAGTGTCCTAAAAGCGCGCGGGGGGGGGGTGTCCTTGTTCTTGATGTCGTTCAAGCGGGGACGCCTGTACATGAGCTGACAAACTGCTCATACCTCTCCACTGCCCCCGCTTCTTCAGGTCTTTCACCTCTGCCGACCCCGGTGTGGCAGCGGCGCCGCCAGACATGAGCCTGCGAGCCAGCGAGTGGGTCGACCAGAGCCTCTGGGCCGCTGCTGCGGGAGTTGCCGTCGGGGGGTCGAACGGGATGGTAGTCGGGAGCGGCAACGAACACAACAGCAATAGAAGCAGCACCGATAGCATAGGGGGGGGAGGGGCGCCGCCGGAACTGGTGGAAGCTCTCTTCAAGCTCATGGCGGAGTGGGTGAAGGAGCTGCCCGTGCCTTCACTCAGGTGAGCATGTCCTGTGTACAGCAGCTACAGGCAGGTGTTTGATTTAGTCAGTTTGTAACATTCGTGGCAGTTTTTGGTTGAATCATTTTTTTGTGAACTGAGAGGCAGCTTGCTGTGTGTGCTGCTGTTTTTTCTCTCGATTGCCCTACTCTCTCCATCTATCCCCTATTTGCTCTCACCAGCTACCGTAGGTTGCGTAAGATACCACATCCCCTGGACCGATGTTCCAAAGCTCGGTTTCTCCACGACGAAGGGGATGCCATGTTGTTTAGGAGGCATAATGTCGGACGTACGTAACCTGTTGAAGTACTGGCTGTACTGGCATCCCTCTGAGCCAATCCAAGGAAACTGTCCAGTATAGGAATACTGTCAGTACCTACTGGTCCAGTCCCCAACCCTATCGATTTCTCCACGATGAAGGGGATGCCGATATCAAATGATGCATTTTCGGAAAGCTCTCGACGAGACGGTTCCAACGCTGCAATTTTCGGCACCGCCACCCCCTTTTGTTGCCGAAAAATCGATCTTTGAGAATCGGTCCCGAGGGTGTGATATCTTTTGCAACCTACGGTATTATTACGAACGCTATTGTTGTTGCTGTGGTAACGAAGCAGAGTAAGATGTTGTACACTGCGCTCACTGGCTGCTGTGTTTGCTGACGACACTGGCATTGCAGATGTTGCTTGTTCGTGCTTAAAAAATATAAAATACCGGGTTGCGTGCACCTGTTCTTTTTTCACGTAAAAACGCAACAAATCCATCCCTTCCACAGGTAAGAGAGTCCTGGATAGTTTAGCAATATTCTGCTGGTGTTGCATGATTACCAACTTTGTAGTTCTACCGTTCCCATCGTATGGAGCTTTGGATGCTGAAGCATGGGGTGTGTATGCAACACCGCCCACCGTGACTGATTTTTTTTGCAGTATTTTCGTGTTTCAACAGACGGTTTGTGTTTTTGATGGTTTTCAAGGTGGCTGGAGGCGTGGCTGTCCGTGGCTGTGTCGGGGCTTGCGGTCCGGCACCGAGGACCGGCGAGGGCGGTTCTGGGGCTAATCCAGGCGTGCTGCTCCCAGAGAAAATCGCCGCAATTCACGGTGAGTTCTGTCCTCTAACCGCGCGTTCTTTTTGTTCCGGTGTGTATGTGCAGTGCTGCTCCTAGAACAAAAAATCGTCGCAATTCACGGTGAAGTGTTGCTTCGAGGGCTTTCTTTGTACCGGTGTGTTCTGCGTGCAGTGTTGTTTACTGTTTGCTGCTGCGACTCTTGTGTTCCTATGCACGTACAGTGCTGTTTGCTGTTGCTGCTGCGGTTGTTGTGTTCCTATGTACGTGCAGCAGTGTTGTTTTTTTTGTTGTTTCGGCTGCTGTTGTGTATCCCCTTTTGGTTGCCATTTTAGTCCCCCACCACCGGCCCAGGTCCAGGATGCTGGTGATTTATTTTCTCATCAAATAAATGTCGATTTTTTTGCCTTCACAACAAGAATAAAGCACAATCAGTCCGATTTCTGCTCAGTACCTTTCAAAATCCCGTACTGGTCGAACTGACGCTGATGCCGTCTATGGCCACAGCTTTTGTCTTCCGGTAGGCAAAACGTGTTTCGCAGCAGGCGAAAGGATAATTTGCTCGGTTGATCAATGAGCCTCAAGTACTGAAATGTTTCCCCCCCTCCCCCGCCAAAAATGAACTAGGAAGGAATGATTGGCCATCGGTGATCGGTCCTGTGGGAACAATGCTCCGTCCTCTCTTTAGGACGCGTGGTCAATGGTCTAACCGCTACGCTAAGGCATGCACAACATAAAGAGTACGCCCCTCCCCCCCCCAAAAAAAAACAAATTACAACAGGCGACCTTCTCCGCGCTCTTGAGGGGCACCGCTCTCGGTGTCGCGCTGACCCGCGGCCTTCTCTCCGGAATGTGCGGAGCGATGCCGTCGTGGATGCTCGACGACCACGTGCTGACGGTGAGGTCG